GGAGCTCCCTATGGGGCCACGAAACGTGTGAGGGGTGTGCCAGAATGGGGGGTGGAACCGCATGCGGGCGCAGCCACTGGGGCCTTCGGTGGAGCTCCCTATGGGGCCACGAAACGTGTGAGGGGTGTGCCAGAATGGGGGGTGGAACCGCATGCGGGCGCAGCCACTGGGGCCTTCGGTGGAGCTCCCTATGGGGCCACGAAACGTGTGAGGGGTGTGCCCGAACGGGGGTGGAACCGCATGCGGGCGCAGCCACTGGGGCCTTCGGTGGAGCTCCCTATGGGGCCACGAAATGGGGCCACGAAAACCGCATGTGCAGGGGCCTTCGGTGCTCCCACGAAATGAGGGGTGTGGTGGAACCGCATGCGGGCGCAGCCACTGGGGCGCTATGGGGCCACGAAACGTGTGAGGGGCCTTCGAACCGCATGCAGAGCGGTCCCTATGGGGCCACGAAACGTGTGAGGGGTGTGCCAGAATGGGGGGTGGAACCGCATGCGGGCGCAGCCACTGGGGCCTTCGGTGGAGCTCCCTATGGGGCCACGAACGTGTGAGGGTGTGCCAGGAATGGGGGGTGGAACCGCATGCGGGCGCAGCCACTGGGGCCTTCGGTGGAGCTCCCCATGGGGCCACGAAACGTGTGAGGGGTGTGCCAGAATGGGGGGTGGAACCGCATGCGAGCGCAGCCACTGGGGCCTTCGGTGGAGCTCCCTATGGGGCCACGAAACGTGTGAGGGGTGTGCCAGAAGGGAGGGGGAGGAGGGAGGAGGGAGGAGGGAGGAGGGGAGGAGGAGGAGAGGAGGAGGAGAACGCGGGGCGACGTCTCTTCAAAACGAGGACCCAACACCACAGGATGGTTGGGAAATACGATGAGCCACGGTGAGGGAGAATCACCAATAGTTTTTCTTTCAAGTGCGAGTTCACTCACCAACTCTATGAGACCCTTTGGCAAAAACAGCAGCAGCCATAGAAGTCTACTGCTCGCCCGCTGTTGGTCACGGGGCACTCAACAGGTACACCCCAAGCCCTTGACACCCGCCCTCTTCGTGTGCGAGGCGGGAATTTACCCATATCCACCGCCTGGGAATCGACGTCCTGGTGTCCCAGTGGGCGGTGGACCTGGATGTGTTCTGGCCGCCGAGGGCACGAATCTATCCATATCCACCGCCCGTGGAGGTCCGCGAGGATCGATCCCCCGGCGGTGAATGTGGATAAACCCCTGCCTCGGATCGCGGACTCGTCCATCAAGACCCAGCACGGTAAAGAGAGAGGCGGGTCGGGCGGGCTGACCCTCACGGGCGGGTCGTGGGTCGGGCGGCGGGCGGGGCCCTGACGGGCAGGCGGACCACTGGGCAGGGCGGGCGGGCCAGCGTTCGGTCGAGCGTATCCTCCTACAGGCGGATCTGGGACGAAAAAAAAAGTAGCCAAAAATATGCTCAAAAGGACGAAAAATAGTGCGAACATCGTCCCCGCATTGGTTTTTTCACTTTCTTCGAATATTCTTCCTGTGGAAGGACATGCCCCGATTTAAGGCCGGCGCTGACATGCGGGTCGGGCGGAGGAGCATTCAAGCGGGCACGTTTCCAGGCATGCGAACGGACAACGGAAGAGACAGGCGAGCGGGACGTGAGAGCGGGCGGGTCGGGCGGGCGGGCCATAACGGGCCCAGACCTGCGACGTCCTGACTGTTTCGACACGGGATCCCTGGAAGTCTCGACCCCTCTCCCCGGGACCGGCTCCTCATCCCGGGTCGTTTTGTTGACGGTCCCGAGGCCCTGTGAGGGCCCCCCGAGGCCGAAAACGGCCCAAAACCTTCCATCCGCATTTTTTTTCACGAGGCGATCCTGTCTGGGGGGGTGTCGGGCGGCAAGCTACTATTATGTCGGGCGTATCCCCCTACAGAGGTATTTTCGACGAAAAAAAGCAACAAAAAAAAACAGAAAGGCCGAAAAATAGTCCAAAAATAGTCCCCAGACTATTTTCGGATTATGTTTTGACTATTTGCGGGGTATCTTTTATTTTTCGTCGAATATCCCCCTGTAGGGGGACAAGCCCGACTTAAGGCTGCTACAACGGGCGGGCAGGCTGCCAGGCCAGCGAGAGGGCGAGCCAGACGGGCGGGTTGGGCGGGTTGGGCGGGCGGGAGAAGCGGGCGGGGACATGGAGGCGCGAGTCCGCAGTGGATCGCGAGGATTCTCGGGCGGGAGCGCGAGTCATATTTACCAGCCTGGGACATATCCCTACCCCTATGGTCGGCATCGCCTCATCACGATGGCGATCTTAGGGATTCCCTCAGTTTCTGAGGGTGCATCCCTAAGACTGTCATCGCCTTTGGGCGTGTCAATCTCAGGGATAGGGATAAGTTCGAGGCTGGTGACATATGTAAATTGCGGCGCGCACCTGACATTTCAGACCCTGAGTAGATCGTCGGGGAATATCGGGCGAGGGGGCTAGACTTGAGGTCCTGGGCGAAAGTGGCATCCAGGGTTTCCTCCGCAAGCTGCTGGGAAGTCTCAGGCGGGAGCTGCTGTTTGATCGTCAACCCTGGCCAAAAAAACGGGGTGCGAAATACGAGGAAGGGCACTGCAAATTTGAAAAGCTCAATGTGTACCGGTGGGTGGGGTCATCAAACGTAATGTCAGAAGTAAAAGATGAGCACAAAGGAAACAACAAGAACAACAAGAACAACAACAACAACAACAACAACAACAACAACAACAACAACAACAACAACAACAACAACAGCAACAACAACAACAACACAAACAACAACCACAACAACAACAAACATAATACTAATGTTAAGATGGTTCGCCCTTATATGCTCGAGTGTCCAATAACGCGTATTTCCCAAACCCTCGATACCCGCCCTCTTCGTCTTCGATCGAACCCCTTTTGGGGGGTATACCTTACTTTCCTGCAGGCCGGGCCCCAGCAAGCGGCGGGGCGGCCGCGGACCGTCGGCCTGGCCAGTGGCAGCGCTGATCGGCGGGGCGGCCGCGGACCGTCGACCCGACCCCAAGAAGGACGGACAGGGGACCGACCACGACGACGACGACGACGACGACGACGTCGTAGACGACGCGACGACGACGACGACGACGGCGACGACGAGCGAAAGCGAGAGCGAGAGAGAACGACAGCAGGGCCACGAAGGGCACGAAGTAGGCCACGAAGGGCGACAGCGGGGACACGAAGGGAATGCGTATGGGGCCACGAAGAGCGCGAACGAGCGGGGGCCACGAAGTGCAGATAATGCGGGGCCACAGAAGGCAACTATGGGGCCACTGAGGGTAGCAACTGGGCCACGTAGGACAGTGAGGGGGACACAAATGGCGACAGCGGGGCCACGAAGGGCATGCACGTGGGGCCACAACAGGCGCGACTCCTGGGTGCCTGGGTGTCGGGAGCGCGGCGCTTGGGCAAGTTGCAGGAAATTCCAACGCAAGGCCATTCTTCAGTAAGTTGCAAGCAAGTCTCCAGCGAGAGCGCGACTCCAGAGCGCCAGGAGAGCGATTCCTTAATAAATTAAAGAAGTCCCAAGCGAGAGCGCGATTCCTGAATAAAATGCGAGGAAGTCTCGGGCGGGAGCGGGTGTCCTGGCTAAATTGTGAGGAAGTCTCAGGCGGGAGCCGTTGTTGTTGTGACCCGGGGGCCAGGGGCCCAGTTTGAGCAGGAAGACTTTCCCTGTCAAAAAACAGGGTGCGAGCGTCGAGGGGCACACTTTGATTGAGAAAAAACAATATGCACCGGTGGGGGCGATCAACAATAATTATTCTTCAGAAATGAGACTTCAACAACAACAACAACAACAACAACAACAACAACAACAACAACAACAACAACACCAACAACAACATCAACAACAACAACAACAACAACAACAACAACAACAACGACAACGACAACGACAACGACAACGACAACGACAACGACAACGACAACACCGACAACGACAACGACAACGACGACAACGACAACACCAACACCAACACCAACACCCGCCGCAATCGCCTAACCATTTTAGCCGCATCGCTGATGGTAGTTCGCAGGTATGGGTCTCAGGGTGGGTCGCGGGTGGGTCGCGGGCGAATCTCAGAGGGTGGGTCGCGGGGCGGGGCGGGTGGGTCGCTGGGCAGGGCCGACAACAAGAACGAGAGTCCGCACCGCGGAACGCCACTCCAGCCACACACCCAGGGACACTGCAAGACCGCTCGGCACCCTGACTCTGGGCTGTATGCGCATATACCTCGTGAGGCTGCGCACACCCTTCACTCTCCAAGGCGCCCCGCGTCCTGCACGCTTTCACAATACTTGATGAGTTCAGCCAGCCCCAGCCGGCTGAACCAACCACGCAGGACGGCGTGCTGTGTACACATATGTGTGTATGTATGCATGTGTATACACATATGTCGCTAAGACGCACACGCGTATATATATGCAGCGCGAGAGACAGAGAAAGAGAAAAGAGAGAGAGAGAGAGTAAAAGTAACATTCAGAGAGAGAGAGAGAGAAACAAACAAACAACAACAACAACAAAATCAGAGAGGATACCCACCGCGGGGCAAGAAGGAGCGGGAAGAGTAGCAGGAACAGGAGTAGATAGAGTACATGACGGAGACGAATGAAATAGCAACAGCACTTGCAAATGACTAAGAGCAACTGAGCGGACTGGTCAAGCGTCTCAAAACATTAGAAACCCTGCGAACACATACAGCCTCACAAGCGATGAAACACCACAACGGTCGCCAGGGACAACGACACGAATCACAGACGACAGGGTCTATAACGCCACATTTGTTTTCCACCAAAGTGCTCACACACGTATGGGTCACACAACATCAAAATGTAGCATCTCTTGTCCGTGGCTGCCTTCGTCGCAGACCTTATGGCCTGTGACACTACATGCAGGCCTGGAGCAAGATACAGACACCCACGGGTCTTACGGTAAAGGCCCAGACGGGGAGGAGATGGAGGAGGCACGGGATGCTTCCCAGAGGTGACTACTCAGCCGTGGTCGCGTTCCCGATGAACACAACCTTGGAATCACTGATCTCGCAATACTTGTCCCACACCTGCTTACGCCCCTTGCAGCCCTCCTCGTCGAGGCCGTGGTACTCAGCCCAGGCATCGTGCCTCCACAAATCTGTCTTCATAGGGTTCCTTGGGCACCCCGACGGCGCACGCATGTAGCACCCAGGCTGCGATGGGTTGCCAAGCTCCTGAGCGTTCGCATTCGCCTCTGCCCGCACCGTTGCCTCCGCCTCCGCCTTCGCACTTGCCTCCGCCTCCTGAGCTCTCGCACGCTTGCTGAACCAGGGCCACGAGGCCAACTCCCTGAGCTGCACCGCCGGCGCAGCTTCCACGAGGGTCTCGCTGCCGACAAACACGACCTTGGAGTCGCTGATCTCGCAGTCCGCCTCCGTGCCCCCTGGCACGCCGAGGCGCGTTAGAAGGCCGAGGGCTGCCCGGTAAGGTCTTTGTAATCTCCTCCTCCCCCTCCTCCTCCTCCCCCCCTCCTCCTCCTCCTCCTCCTCCTCCTCCCTCCTCCTCCTCCTCCTCCTCCTCCTCCTCTTCCTCTACTACTTTTACACAAAAAAACAGATCCGCACTCTCGAGGCCACGATTTTTCGTAAACACGCGCTCTTCATCATTTGGGACGTCCTTCGGGCCCCACGTAGAGGCCCAAAGATGGCCATGCCTCAAACTGGTCGAAGAGGGCCCCCAAATTGCCAGACAATCTTGCAAAACGGCTTCAGACAGCCCAAGAGAGCCCCTAGACCCCCAGGCTGCCCCACAGGAGCCCAAGACAGCCCCAAGGCGGCCCCAAATGAGCAACTGCTCAACATCATCACCACCATGATGCTCCGCATCGCACCCGTCCACTACGTTGCCCCAACTCCTGTTGTTCCTCCTCGTCTTCCCTCCCCACTCATCACCTTTTGTTTATCTAGCTAGATGTGTTCCGAGTGAATGGGGTCGGAGGATCGCGCCGCATCAGCGATGCATCAGCGATATATCAGCGATGCATCGGCGATGCATCGGCCACGTCGGCGATGCATCGACGACGTCGGCGTGGGGGAAGTCGGGCTCCACATCGAGCCGCATCGCCGACGCATCGGCGATATGCGGCGCGATCCTCCGACCCCGCCTACTCGGACCCCGCCTAGATTGGGCTCCTGCTCCGCCCCTGGACGACCTCAGACGATCCCAAACAAACGCAGGAAGGCCGAGGCCGAGGCGTGACCGACGGCGTCACGACCGCCACTCCGGCCGCCACCCCACACGCGTGCTGCGGCCTCCTGCCTCGCCCCTCGGGCAGCTGCCTCCGAAGCCCCACCGGAGAGCTGGCACGGGCGGCGGGTGCACCTGGCCGCAGGCGGCCGGCTACTTGTCCCACACCCGCTTGCGCCCCTTGCAGCCCTCCTCGTCGAGGCCGTGGTGCTCCGCCCAGGCGTCGTGCCTCTGATGGGCCTGTTTTCCACCACCACCATAAGTTGGAGGGGGGTGGGGTCCTCCTCCACCTCCTCCTCCTCCTCCTCTTCCTCCTCCTCCTCCTCCTCCTCCTCACCCTCCTCCTCCTCCTCCTCCTCCTCCTCCTCCTCCTCCTCCTCCTCCTCCTCCTCCTCCTCATCTTCCTCCTTCCCCCCTCCAACTTATGATGGTGGTGGTGGTGGAAAACAAGCCCACCAGCCTCCACAGGTCGGTCTTCATGGGGTTCTTGGGGCACCCCGAGGGTGCCCTCATGTAGCACCCTGGCTGCGACGGGTTGCCCAGCTCGGGGACGGCCACCGCCTCGGCCTCCGCCCCGGCGCCTGCCGGCTCCGCCTTCTTCTCGTGGTGCCTGGACCACGGCCACGCCGACTCGATCTCCCCGAGCTGCGACGAGAGGGAGACATCTGAGATCTTTGTGGCGATGGCGTGCGAATGCACCGAAAGCTCCCCGAAGAGAACCGCTGCGGCACTGGCGCGCCGCATCATCCTGGGCTGTACGGAGATCCGGTATCTGGATCAAAAGACAATATGAAATTTGCCAACCACGGGTTGGGCCAGGCTGGCTACGGAAGAGCAGCCGCAGAGTCAGCAGCAGGAGCAGGAGCAGGAGCATAACTGGGAAGCATGGGAGGGGAAAGAGAAGAAGCGGCGTCGGAGGAGGCACAAGATGAGGATTGTCAGGGCAAGCAGCGAAAACGGGGAGCTGAAGGGGGAAAACAATGTGGCAACCCGCTCATTCAATCTGCGTCATGCACTGGTGCACACCAAACACCCCTCCGCATCACAATGGGGCAGAAGAGAGAGAGAGAGAGAGAGAAAAAAAAAAAAAAAAAAAAAAAAAAAAAAAAAAAAAAAAAAAAAAAAAAAAAAAAAAAAAAAAAAAAAAAAAAAAAAAAAAACGAGAGAACAAACAAAGGAGAGCAAGCGAGAGGGAGGGAGGAGTAGGAGGAGGAGGAGGAGGAGGAGGAGGAGGAGGAGGACGAGGAGGAGGAGGAGGAGGAGGAGGACCAGGAGACGGAGGAGATACAGTCATCACGCGACCGGACAAAAGAAAACGCTGAATCAAGGAATGGAGGGGCTTTTCCAGCCACGGCCGGCCCTCTGCCGCGAGCAGGTTGCCCGACGCGGACCTGAACGGCCCGAAAACCAGAGTCATGCTGCATCCTCGGGGGACCTTGCCTGTCCCGTCGCGGCCCGATCCGCGTCGACTCCGTTTCGAGGCCTCGTCGGATCCGTGCCGAATCCGTGTCGAATGCAGCGTCACCGGAGCCGCTCTCCCCGAGCTCAGAGGTGGTCCTCAGCTCGGCGCCTCGACTGCCCGGCCACGGCAGCGGGCACGAGCTCCCCGCAGGAGTGCGAGGAGGGGGAGCGGCCCGGCCAGGGCGCCAGGGAGGGGCGGGGTCCGGCAGGCCGGGGGAGGCGGAGGCCGAGCGCGGACGAGGCCCCAGCGGAGGCAGACGAAGGAGTGGTGCGCCGCCGCCTCGAGCCTCCTCCTCCTCCTCCTCCTCCTCTCCTCCTCACTCCTCCTCCTCCTCCCTCCTCCTCCTCCTACCTCCTCCTCCTCCTCCTCTCCTCCTTCTCCTCCTCCTCCTCTCCCCTCCTCCTCCTCCCCTCCTCCTCCTCCTCCTCCCGCCTCCCCTCCCCCCTTCCTTCTCACCTCATCCGCCCTCCCCCTCTTCCTCTTCTTGCTCCGTCCCCCTCCTACTCGAATACAAAGCCTGTCGGGGGGGGGGGGGGGGGCGGGCACGGATAGACCGCCGCGCGCGGCATCGGTGGGCTCGGGGCGCGGTGCGCCCGCCCACTGGAGGGTCAAGGGTGCTCCTTGGACCAAACGGAGGAGGCAGGGGTGCCTCAAGAATCAAGGGTGGCGCAGGGGCCTCGAAGAGTGGCTAGATGATGAGGAGGATGAGGAGGGGGAGGAGGGGGAGGAGGAGGAGGAGGAGGAGGAGAAGGAGGAGGAGGAGGAGGAGGAGGAGGAACGAAACGGAACGCTCGTTGGGAAGACCCCGAGCAGGAGCCGAACAGGGCCAGAACCGACGAATGCTTGAGGCCTTGAGACGCACGGCGCTTGGGGAGCCCGAAGGCGCCATGGGGCCGCTGACATTGCAGTGTCCTCGCCCTGTGATGTGTGCAGAGAGGAGGACGAGACAAAGAGGGCCAAGGAGGAGGGGGCGCAGCAGAAGAAGAGTGAAACAAGGAGGATGACAGTGGAGGTGGAGGTGGAGGTGGAGGTGGAGGTGGCGGTGGAGGTGGAGGGACACGACACTAACCGGCAACCTCCACGTGTGCACTGAATGGTATCGGCCTCCTCTTCCTCCCCATCCAAAGGCAGAAGAGCGTGCACGTGTGGCCCCGGTACGAGGAGGATGAGGAGGAGGAGGAGGACGACGACAGGGAGGACGACAGGGTGAGCAGGAGGGAGGGGGGGACGACAACGACGACGACGACGACGACGTCGACGACGACGACGACGACGGAGGAACAGGAGGTGGAAGAGCAGGAGGCGAGGGAGGATCAGAGTGTCACCAGATGCTGGGGCAGTCGCCTCTTCCAGGCCCTCTCGCCCTCCTCGACGCTGGCGCCGCGGTCGACCCCCAGGACCTGCCGGCGGAGGTTCGTAGGGGGGCAACGGCCGCGGGGGGGAGAGCGGCCTCGCAGGGGAGAGGGAACAGATACTGGGCAGCAGGACACGCCACGAATATGTACATATATATATGTGTGTATACACACTCTAACACGCGCCGCCGAGTGTTCCTTGTGGCTTCGAGGCCAGGTAGCGGTGTATAAAAAAGGTTGGCTCGTAGTCGTGATTTATATACCGCCACTCTCCATATGAGGCCAAAGAACAATCCACTCGACGCCCTCCAGTGGAGGGCGTCCGTGTATAGTTATGCTTTGTGGCGGAAAGGAAGGGACGGGGCAGGGGAACGACTGAAGGAGCGGGTGCCGCTTGAGCGATCCTCAGCTTGCCAATCTGGTGGGCGCCGAAGACATCTCAAAGTACACTCGGCGCACCCGAGAGGCGCTGCCGATTCTGAAGGTGTGCCCTGGTGTGACAAATCAACGACGCATCTCATATGACCCGTCGCTGACACGGCTATCGGCATCAAACATGAGCGCTTGGACGCAAGCTGCTCAAAAACACCAGAGCGAAATCGACGACTATCGGAGGGGCGCCATCCCCACTGGAGTGGGTGACAAAGCCGACGCGCGTGCGGAGGGGACGAAGCTGCGCGAGCGGGAACCATGCTCCCAAATACTTCGATATGGTATGTATGATATGCGGCCCCCGAGCTCCCGACCACTTCCCCAGCTGTGGCTTTGCGTCCCATGCCCATGTTTGACTGTCCCATCGAGGAAAAACGCTGGGATTGAAACACACATAATCGTCTGAGATATGGGCTCCTAGCTCGAGCCACCTCACGTCCTTGCGGATTACGCGTGAGAGTGATGCTACGGCAGATGTCGCCCTGCGAGCGCCTACTGGTATCTAACAATGTCCCTATTAGCGCCTACTGGCGCCTATGAATGTCTATCGCCGATCAACGACCACTTACAAGCAACAATGAACGTCCATAGCTGGGGAAGACAACAGCTCATGCTTACAGTGGCTCTCACGCATAGCACACCTTCACATCCATCAATTCGCGGGGGGGGGGCGTGAACCTCGCGGGCCCCCCCCAAGGCTGCCCTGCGATGCTCCCGTGGTTGTCGCGTGGTTGTCCGCGCGAGCGCCGCAGGTTCTTCCACCAGGCCGCCCCGTGGCCGTGCGGCCGCACCGTGCCTGGTTGGCCTGTGGCTGCCATGCGGCTGCCCAGCGGTTGTCCTGCGGCTGCCCTGTGATCGTCGGGGTGTTGTCCTGCCGTGGCCGTCCCGTGCGGCGAGTTTGTGCCGTGCCGACGTCACCGTCGGTTTCTGCTACCGGCGGGGTCGTTCGGCCTCGAACGATCGGCCGTTTCCGAGACGTCAGAGTGTTCGGCAGCGACCGATGCTGCGGTCGACGGCGGCGTTCAAGAACGGGCCGCCGCCGGTCGGCACGGCGCGCACCTGCAATAGCTGCAGTGTAGTCGGCTAAATCGTGTTGGCAGGTCTCTGTGCAGATGCACACAGGTGTGCAATGAGAAGGCCCAACGCTGCAGAACTGCCCGAAGGGTTTAGCGTCCTCACATGAAGTAGGAAAGCAGAACACGTGACAGCAGTCGAGGGCTGGAAGAGCCATGCTGGTTAGAAATGTTCGAAGAGCTGGAGAGGCTGTAGGAACTGGATGTGTTAGAACAGGTGGGCACGCAGGGGTTACGTAAAATCAGTGTGGCGCTCGCTGTATGACGTGGTAAGAACTGACTGAAACGAGCATGAAACGAGTAGGCGGCATAGCGAAAGATGAAGAAGTTCGTAAGACTCTGAAAGCTTGAACAGTCGTGTACTGAAGCTGGAATTGAGATACGTGACATACAGTTCCAAACTCTGTAGACGAGCATGAGGAATGATAAGACCTCAACTTGATTGAACATGTGAACGCGTAGATGGGTTTGAGGGCCTGGAAGAGTCAGAACAAATGTAGACGAGTATGAGGAATAATAAGACCTCAACTTGATTGAACATGTGAACACGTCGATTGGTTTGAGGGCCTGGAAGAGTCAGAACAAATGTAGGAATTGCAAGCGGTGAAAATGGGGATGTCACATCTAGCGCAAATTAGAATACCCCGAACAACTACAACGTGTAAGAGAATATACGTTGCCAACCCGGTGCGAACCAAATTACAAAAACAAAAAAAAAAAAAAAAAAAAAAACACCCGGCGAGTGATCGTGTATGTAGGTATGCATGATGTTGGTGTAGGCTCTGGCGTTGGTTCTGACGTTAGTGATAGTTTGGGTGTTGACCACAGCATCCACATCAGACACATCAGACCAAACAAGTCCACCCTCAACAGCGATCGCAACAGGGGCTCTTGCTTGCTCGAGTGCCAGTCAACCTTTGAATCGAAACCATTTGTGCACGCCATTTCGTCTTGGATCGCATCCCTGTTGGTGGGATCCCTTTTCGTTGCGAGGGCTGCAGGGCTCAGACAGGCGAGCGGGCGGGGTTTGAGGCCTCCTGGATGGGGTCCACGTAGATGGGGTCGGAGGATCTCGCCGCATCGCCGATGCATCTGCGATGCATCGGCGACGTCGGCGACGCATCGGCGACGTCTGCGCGAAGAAAGTCGGGCCCCGCATCGAGCCGCATCGGCGGCGCGTCGGCGATGCGGCGCGATCCTCCGACCCCGTCTGCTCCGACCCCTGCGGGGAGGCCTGGGAGGCTCGCAGGTCCCCCTTCCGGCGGGATGCCTTCTCGCCGCGAGGGCTGCGAGGGCGCGGGCGGAACGGACTCGGACGGGCGGCGAGGCCCGTCCCAGACCCGAAATGTGGGCCCTCGGGTCAGGTCGGGGCTCGTGAGAGAGGAGGAGGAAGAGGAGGAGGAGGAGGAGGAGGAGGAGGTGGAG